CTGCGTAATTAATTAATTAATTTGGGTTTAGGGGTCGTAACACGGGGTGTTACAGGAGTGGTAGAGATGTGACTATGCAAGATGGTTCAAAAAACATGTCCATGGAAGGAGCTGGTACCCAGCCACGCCCGTCATCATGAGTACATTAAGCTGGAACTGTCGTGGCTTGGGCAATCCACGCATAGTTCGAGAGGTTGTGGACCTAGCGTCCCGTAAGAAGCCCGCGTTTGTGTTTTTGATGGAGACCAAGGTGGGACGGATACATGCAGAACGGATTCGTGTCAGGCTTTGGTATGACAGTTTGTTTTATGTTGATAATGATGGTTTGAGTGGTGGAATGGCTCTCTTCTGGAAAAAGAACAACACGGTCAGGTTGTTAAGTTACTCGCTGAATCATATAGATGTGGAGGTAAATTTCTCTAATAAGATGTGGCGTATTACATGCTTCTATGGCATCCCGGAATGAAATAGGCAGGAAGAATCTTGGAATTTACTGGGCACGTTGAAGGATAGGTCCTTGTTACCCTGGGTAGTGATAGGGGATTTTAATAATCTCCTATATCAGCATGAGAAGAGAGGGGGAAACCCGTACCCTAATAACCTGCTGTGTGGGTTTGGGGAGGCTGTAGATGGTTGTGGTCTGTTGCAAATGCCGATGAGAGGCCATCAGTTTACATGGGAAAAGGGGAAATGAACGCAGAATTGGATAGAGGAGAGGTTGGACAAGGTCTTGATAACGGATGATTGGGGTGTTATGAATGAGAATGCATGGGTGGAAAACTTACGGACTCGAGCTTCGGATCACTCGGCCCTTTTCCTTAACATTAATGCAATCTGCATGCAAAGGGGAAGGGGGCCGCGGAAATTCAGGTTTGAGATGGCTTGGTTGTTGGATGAGGGATGTAAGAATGTGGTAGAAACGGCCTGGCAGGAGGGGAGAGCGGAGGGGTTGCTGCATTGCCAGCAATTATGTGGCGAGAAATTGATGCGATGGGGAGGGGATCAATTTCATAAGTTTGGTGAACATATTAGGCAGCTACGACAGAGACAGGATATTATTCGAAACAGACGGGACTCTTTGAACGATAACGGACTCTTTGAATTCTTATGTGTTCCCCGAGGGTTTGAATGATACTAACATTATATTAATCCCCAAGAAAGAGGTGCCTGAAACAGTAGCAGATTTGAGGCCAATTGCCTTGAGTAATGTCATTTATAGAGTTATGGCCAAGATGATAGCAAATAGGATGAAAACGCTCATGGGAGAACTCATCTTGGAGTCCCAAAGTGCGTTTATTGCTGGGAGACTGATCACAGATAACATCTTGGTAGCGGCTGAGATGGGGCATTACTTAAACAGGAAACAATGTGGTGTAGTGGGGTGGAGTGCACTGAAGCTAGATATGTCGAAGGCTTATGATAGAATGGAATGGACGTTTCTGAGGAGAATGTTGACTGTCATGGGTTTTAGTGAGAAGTGGATACAGCTTATTATGTTGTGTGTGACGACTGTTGATTATACTGTAATGGTGAATGGAGTGGCAGGGGGCGCGTGAAACCCACACGGGGGCTCAGGCAGGGGATCCTCTTTCCCCTTATTTATTTATTATTTGTGCGGAGGCACTTTCGATGATATTACAGTATGAGCAAATGGCAGGATCAATACATTGGTGCAGAGTAGCTAGAGGGGCACCTCCTGTCTCACATCTATTTTTTGCAGATGACAGCCTCCTATTATCTGGCCAGGTGGTGAATTATAATAAATCCAATATCTGTTTTAGCCGGAATACCCATGAGGGTCACAGGGCGCAAGTAGCGAATTGTCTTGAAGTCGAGCAAGCAGCCAATTTTGGAAAATATTTGGGTCTACCATCTTTTGTGGGAAGAAATAAGAGGGCTATTTTTTTCTTACGTGGAGGAAAAAATAAGGCAGTGAATTGGTTCGTGGAGTAAAAAGTTACTATCTCAGGCTGGTAAAGAAGTGTTGTTAATAAGTGTAGCGCAATCTATGCCTACCTTTTCTATGAGCCTTTTTTTGTTACCTGAGACTGTATGTCAGTCGATTGAGCGAACTATGAATAGATTTTGGTGGGGAAATGGTAGGGATAGGGGAATACATTGGAAAACTTGGGATAGATTATGTGTCCCAAAGAAGTATGGTGGTTTGGGTTTTAAAGAGCTGAGGACTTTTAATCTTGCTACGCTAGGAAACAGGCATGGCATTTTCTAACAAACCCAGGATCGCTAGCAGCAAAAATTTATAAGGCAAGATATTACCCCACAACTAGTTTTGTTGATGCTACTATTGGGAATTGCCAAGTTACTGTTGGAGGAGTATTATGGCGGCACATGCAATGGTAATCTCCGGGGTGCGAAGAAGAATTGGAAATGGACAGACGACTCTAATATGGGACATCCGTGGTTACAGGATAATCCTAGCCCTTTAATTCAAACAGATATGCCAGAAGAGTTAAGAGAAGCACGAGTGGCAGGATTGATTGATTTACAAACAAATACATGGGACCCACATATTTTATCTGACCTGTTTATTCCTGAAGATGTGAACCGGATAAGTATGATTCCTATTAGTCCTGACTACGATGACTCATGGTATTGGATGGGTGACCCAAAAGGGACATACACAGTGAAGAACGCCTATAGGGTATTGTTGGGGATTATGAGAGTAACCCAGCTATGTTTGATAAATGGGTTTTGATGTGGAAATTAAAGGTCCCACCCAAGTGGAAGACATTTCTGTGGAGAGCCATATGTGATATTCTACCCACTACCACTAATTTGATTATAAAGAGGGTAGAGTTGGACCCAACATGCCAAATGTGTGCTTTAGATCATGAAGATGTGTTACATGCTTTAGTGCTCTGTGAATATTCTACACTTGTTTGGAATATAACACAATTGTCTATCACTAATATTATTACATATTTCTTTTCAACATGGCTAATGGAGGCTTTGGCGGTCTTAACGGAGGAGCAAACCCGGTTATTGGTAGACGTGTTGTACCATATTTGGAGGAGCCGCAACTCAGCCGTGTGGAAGGGGTCTATGATGCGGCCAGCCGATGTCTAGAGAGTGGCTGCCGCGGCTTTGCAAGCGTACGGTGCTGCGCAACACCGCCAGGCAGCGCCGTCTCCAGCGCCACCCACCGGAACGGACATGGACGGCAGCAGGCTCAGATGTTATGTGGACGCGGGTTTTCGTCAGGACACTGGAGATGCCACGCACGGTATTGTACTAGTTTCACCAAAGGGCTCTTTCGTAGAGGCAAAGAATGGCAAATTGCCTTTTTGTTTCTCACCGTTTATGGCGGAGGCACAGGCATATAAGGAGGCACTGTCCTAGCTATTAGAAAAGAACAATACATCAGTATGTCTACTCACGGATTGCATGGTACTACGTACTACTATGCGGCATCAAGACTCACCAATTCATTCGTATGTTGGGGTCACAATTGACCAATGCAGAACACTTATGTCTTTATTTAGTCATATTTCGTTAAATTATGTCTCCAGACAGGTTAATTTACATGCTCACACTTTAGCTTCCTTAGCTTTTACTCAGGATCATGCTATGTACTGGATTCTATCCCCTGACGCTATTACAGCTTTGATTCATTAATACAATCTACAAATTGGTTTTCAAAAAAAAATGTATGTTGTCCATTTGGTTGTAATTTTTCACAATAGTTTTGTCATTATATGTATGCCTATTTATGATCATAGAAAATCAAAATCCAAAATTCCAAATACATAATGTCAAGTATTCCTGAATAATAAAGATTTAAAGTTAATGTTAGCTTGTACAACTATATATAAGTACTAGGCTAATAATCAAAATTATTATTCTAAGTTATTTTTAAAAACAAATGATTTTCTAGCTAACAATTAAAGTAAAAAGATTGTTTATTTAGAAAATGAAAATAAGTACAAGATCAACCCCTTTTAATCAAAATGAGTACAAAACTACAAATCATGTTGGAACTATAAAGAGAAAATTCTTAAAATGATCCTCCGACTATGACACTTTCTAAAATTGGTCATTTGACTTTTAATGCACCCAAAATAGCCCGTTGACTATAGTAAAAATCTTAAATTACCAGTTTTACCCTTCATTTTAACACTCACTTAACACCAAAACTAACGGGGACGACCATTTTGACTTAAAATTCAATAGTCGGAGGACCACTTTGGGTGCAATTAAAAGTCAAGGAACCAAATTGAGAAAATGTCATAGTCGAAGGACCATTTTGGGAATTAACTTTGCTAACAACATCATTGTATTATGGAATGCTAGTATTAAGAATATTTGGATCGATATATAATTATTTAAATTAGAACATCTAATACACACACATATATAATGGGGTGGAGTGGGGATGGCTGCCCCCATAATGAATTTGCCCATGCATAGATGAAGCATCAAAGATAAGAGATGAAGCTTTTTGTTCATCTCATATTTCAAAGATAAAACTACTTGCTCGTTCATAGAAGAAGTTTCTTACTTAGTCTTAAATCAAGACAAAGTCTAATTTCAAAACTAAAATTTACTTTCAATTATATGATTACCATAGTATTTTTACATTTAATCACCAATTATTAATCATATTTATTTTGTTTGTTAATTAATTAAAACGAATATGTCAATTGTAATCATGCACCTAGTTCTAAAGAATAAAACAGGTATAAATTGTAAGTAAGTTGAAACTTGTCATCAGCGGATCCGTGGTGCAATGGTAGCGCGTCTGACTCCAGATCAGAAGGTTGCGTGTTCGATTCACGTCGGGTTCAGTTTCCTTACCCATCATAACCTAGTTCCTAGCAGATTGGGTTTTGGAAACCAATTTTGAATTTTTATAATTTGAATTAGTACTTTCCTAAAACCAAATACAAACGGTAAAGTGACTTTCACAACAAGCCACTAACTGAAATTATATATACCCCTTTCCTCTCTCCCTCTATCCATTCAAAGATTTGTTGTTTCCATCTTCAAACTCAGTAACTCACTCCAAATCCTACCTTTCTGTGTTTCATATTTTCATACCCATCACTTCATCTTAATCCAAAGTTGAAAGCTTTTCCAGAATTTTGAGTTTCTTGGGGGCGATATGACGGTTCCATCCAGACTCAGACGCAGACGCAGACGTTTCTCTGGGCTACAACACCAAGTCCAGTTTCACGGCATAAACTTCAGCGTCACCGTGACAAAGAGAGGCGCTGAGGTTGATCAATGGGTCAACGAGGTCGTCTACAACAACAGCCACGTCCTCCACAGCCTCATCGTCGGTCTTGACATCGAGTGGCACCCGTGTCTTGCAGGGGAAGACCACAACCCGGCCGCCACGCTCCAGCTTTGCGTCGGGAAAAGCTGTCTCATTTTTCAACTTTTGCACAAGGACTACACTCCCCATTCTCTCCTCGCCTTCCTGGCTAATCCCCGATTCACCTTCGTCGGCGTTGGGGTCCGAGATGACGCCGAGAAGCTCCTCCGGGACCATGGGTTGGTGGTGGAAAACGTTGCGGATTTGCGGTGGGTGGCCGCGGGGGTTTACAACTCGGAGCGGTTTATGAGGATGGGGTTGAAGAGAATGGCGTGGGAAGTTCTGGAGAAGCCATTGGAGGTGACTCTCAGCGATTGGGATGCCAAAACTCTTACCTTTCCGCAAATTGAATATGGTTCGATTGATGCATTTGTTTCCTTAGAAATTGGTATCAGTTTGTTCTTACAGTGCTATATACCATTTAGTTGTTGATTAAGTAGAGTGGTTTTGTATTAAGGTCTGATTGTAAATTTGGTACTGACTCTTTCTTTAGTTGAAAGTTTTTTTTGGTTCGTTGTTAATTTTTGATCCTCATTAATATTTGGTAGGGAAATTTATAGAGATTGTGATGTATGTTTTGTGTATCCAATGCCACTTTGCTTCTGTGTTCTGATGTGTGCACTGTACTCTTAATTGTTTTGAACTTAGAATGATTTCTCTGTTTGTTATTTATTTTTTGATGATTTCTTGTCTTCATGTGCTGATCTGGCAAAAGAATCCTGCAACAAATGTGTATCATACTAGCTCTTTTTAAGAAGTTGCTGTTATTAAAATAATGAATCTTATTGTGCAAATAATAAAGACTCGAAATTGATAGTTTAGGGAAATGTAGTTGTGCATCTGCATTCTGAATCAACATTTTGATTATGATTTGGTTTCTGGTTTTGTGTGTATGAGGATGCTGGAAGTTGAATAGCATAAGTCCTACATTTACACTCAATTGTTGTCTCTGTGTTTATGATCTATCTGCTCCTCATTTTTTTTTTTAAATGTCCAGTTTCCACCTATTGAAACACCAATCAAAGCTCCCAATTCAAGGGAAATATGATCCGCCACTAAATGAAAGGAAAGGATACTATCTTCCATGACTCGGAGATGAGTTGCTGCAATGCTCATCCTTGGCATGATGTTGAGATAGGTATTTAACTAAATTCTGCCCATATCTACAGTTGATCACTTTTTGGAGTTTAAAGTTACTTGATCCGTGTCTTGTGATCTGAAGCTCCAAAGCTTTTCAATGTGGTAAGCATTCACTTTGCTCAAAATGTTCCTTCTGAATTTTCAATTTGTTCATTTTAGAAATTTAGTTAAGACTCATATCATGCGGTAAATCATATCCACTGCTTTGAACTGTGTAAAAAAACATATACGTCTTATAACCATTTATATGCAACAAGCAAATGAGCTAATCCTATTTGAACCCTCAAGCAATTAAATCCATCAGAAATTTGAAAAAAAAAAAAAACATTGATATTGTCTTACCCTCCCATTTGAATGCTCAAGTGCTCATTGACCTTGACCATATGGATTTACTTGTGTTATACTCGGGGAATGGCATGATATTTAATGGATTAATTTTGTATCAGGTTTATTTTTGTATATGGCTATATCTATGCAGGTAATTGAGATCAGCAAAAGGGGTAAGGTGAAGTATGAACTGGATAAAAAGAGTGGACTTATCAAGGTAAAAAATATCACAAATTGTTTATTGAAAACATGCACAGAGTCAGCCCGAGCCCGCCAATATTCAGGTTAATGGTTGGCCTGGGGAAAAAATTTCCGTAGGTTATATTTGTTCCCATCTGTCCATCTCTTTCAAGTCTACTCATGCATTAATTTACAATTTGTGATTCATCATTTTTTTTTTTTTTTTTTACTTTCATTGTATATGGAAGGTTACAAATCAAATCCACTATTGCTATGGTTGTACAAGCTTAGGTTCCACCAATATATTTGTATAAAAAATTCACTTATTCAAATATACAATATTTATTTTACTTGAGAAATATTTTACAAAAATAATTATATCATTTGCTTTACTCATCAGTTGTCTACACCCATAACTATTTGTGAAGACAGTGACCCTATGGATGTTTTAGTTATCATGCAGGTCTGATTTCTCTTCCAAATCATTTTTAGGCGATGTAGTTTAAAGAGCTTCCTGTTTTCTCTACACGGTTTTAGTTTTATTTGATTTTTTAAAGGTTTGAATCTTTTTGCAATATGTTATTTATTTCAATTTGGTTAGCTTTGTGCATATGTTTGTGTTCCCAGTATGTGTAAGTTAATAGTATTTGTGTTTGGTTGAAGAAGCTATCTCAAAAATGGCATAGTGGAAACATGATTAGTAGCATGAGGAGGTACTTAGTCGAAGTAGAATAGTGGCAATTAAGTTCAGTTCAATTGTTGATTTAATGATATATATAGCTTGAAACTTCAGCTTAAGTGACAGTCTAAGATGATGCAAAAAGGGAGGGAGTAAGGTTCTCATCATTTGCACTAGAGATGGTGTGACCGCCTCAACATGTTTACCTCCTAACACTCATTCAACAACTCGATATTCAATTGTGGATTTCATTACCTCATATGGGAGTCTGGAGGTCCGATCCTCAATAGGCTTTGCCTCAACTTCATAAAATTCACTTATCACCTGGGGATTCAACATGAAGATTTAGATAAACATGTTTTTGTTCTAACTAGATGAATTTAAGTCTGTATCCACTCTATCTACGACTTTGCTTCAAGTTTTGTATCCAATTTTAAATACGCTTCTTCATCTCATAAGCAATGGTGGAGAAAAGTGCGGATGTCCTAAGGTAGATTCAGGTTCAATACTTTGTTAGACTTGCAATAAACTTCATTTCTTGTTCATTACTGTTATTTATTTTGATCCAGATCACATTATAAGATTTGTATTGCTTATACTAGTCTTCCATGAGGACCTTGGTAGTATTTTGAATCAACTCTGCCAAAGAATATAATGTTTCAATTAGAGAAAAACAAGTGTTGTGTAATTATAGATTACAAGTAAGAAATGCCTTTTTAGCTAAAAGCAATCATATTGCTGTAAACTTGAGCATGTGAGAATTTAGCTATACAGATCATTACTATGCTAATTGCTATCTTGACTCATTGTAACCAGCAACAGGGATTTGAAGGTGCTTAGCTTGGACTACCAACCCACTCATCTTCCACAACTCTTACTTTAAGTATGGAGGTAGACTAGTATTACCTGTAATTGGTTCTAGTTAACGTCATATACTATATATCATTCACGTTCATTTTTAATTGTTAATATTTTTCAGTGCTATAATCTATATTTAGTTATAGTTTGTCTAGTAAAATAAAAGAGTTTTGGAGACAAAAAAAAAAAAAAAAAAAAGTTATCCAAAACCACGTAACGTTATGCCAACATCAACAATTTTCAATCTTGAAATTCATATTGAAGAGCTGCATATGATTGCCTTCATCTTTCTTAGGTCTTTGCCTTCTCTACTGCTTTACTTTGATCCTCCAATGCTTACATTTAAGTGTGCTTTATTATGTACAATATCCATATATTTTCCTTGTGCTGCCACTCAACTATTTTGGGTAGGATATGATGTAGCACACGAGCTGGCTCCTGGGCACTCATTGGAGATTTTCACCATTGAAAATGTCAAGGAAGCTAAGGGTCTTAGTGGTATGATACATATATATCTTCTGATATTGACTGTCTACATCATTTCAACCCTGAGTTTTCAGATGATTTAAGATGTTATCTTTTCAAATTTACAAACATTATATTGGTGCACTGTGCAAGATAACCTGCATTTGACTAAATGTCTACCATTTGTTTGAAAACTTATTTGGTTGTATCTTTTGACCCAATGCCCATCATTTGATTGTATCTTAACAAACACTTGAAAGTCTGCAAACTTGCAAAATTTTCTTATTTTTCATTCTAAGTACTCACTCACCGATTTTGCATTCTCCTATACTTTGTAAGGATATTCAAAGCCATATCTGTAATCTATTACTGTAATTTGTTTATACAGTGAGCTGGTGGAAAAATTCTTTACAAGTTATTATGCATCAAGCTATTTATCTCATCAAATCATATACCGGTCGGGTGTTGTTCAAAGACTAGTGGCAAGTGTCTGATAGACCTTTTTCTGATTGTTTGCTATGGTTTTTATGATTTTTTTTTTTTTTGGGAAATAGATTATTTCTGTAATTCGATATGTTTTTCTTATCCTGGGAACATCATACTTGTTATTTTGCAAAATCACCTCGCCTTTCGCTGACGACAGCCATTCTGAAGACGACTCCGTCGCCCTGAGATACTTCTCCATTTTCGCCCTGCCTTCCGCTGACGAAGACTGCCAACAGCGCCTACCTAATTTTGTATTGCAGGCGGCAGGCCCCACTATCCTCTTTTTTTCAGGAAAATGCTGCAAGTATCTTTTTCTTGTTATTTTGGGCAATGTTTGTTGTTTTCAAATCTCTTTTCATTACTTAGTTACACTTGATTTAGCCTTAACTAGTCAACTTCAGATATTGCCCATCGTCTTGAACTGCAATGTTTTTATCCCCTGTACCAATAACTTTTTGATGCATAATAAGCTTGTTTTTTGTCCCTTCTCAACATGGAACAACAAAGGACGCTCAGGTTTTGTATGCCCCCACAACTTCGTCTCACCGTTTTTCATGCATATCATTCAGTTTGAGTTCTAATCTATGCTGTTGTCTTCCATATAGGCAGCATTTGATCATCTGGTTCAGAGGACAGATATTGATACATCAAGAATAGTTTTGTTTGGAAGGTCACTAGGTGGAGCAGTTGGAGCTGTGCTTACTTTTCAAAAAAAAATTAATCCTGATAAGGTATCAGTCTAATGAATTTGTGTTTATTTTATTTATATAAAAATAAAAATATGCATGCTACCTGATTCTAGTTATTGCTTATTCCTTTACTATGAATCTGTGCCTTCTGGTAATTGGCTAAGCACCTGTAACCTTGGAGATCTAAGATCATTATTGAATCTGCTTTCACCTTCTTCTTCTTCTTCTTCTTCTTCTTGTAGTTGTTTAAATGATATTCTGCTTCTCTGTTTTACAATATACTGATGCAAATCCATCTTTAACACATGTGTTCCATGGTTTCTCCCCTACATTTGAAGATCTCTGAACTTGGGTAAGGATCGAGATCTCTACTTTGTGATGGCTTATTTGTTTCATTGTAAGTCTTTCTCTTAAATGTATTTATGATTTTTTATTTGATAGAACCAACATGACGAGCTATAGCCAAACTTCACTAAATATTTTGTATTATAAGTTTTTGGTGTAATATTTGTATTTGCATAAAATTAAATGTGAGGTTCAGTATGCTATAAGCATGCATGAATATGTCTATTAGACTATTACTTTTGTTTTATATGTTTTTCTAATTTGGCAGCTGCTGCTGCTGCATTGGCTGATGAAGCTGGTTGCAGCCCACAAATTTTTAGTGATGTTGCAAAAAGCTAATTTATTCTTGTGTTCGATTTGGGAATGAATAACTTCAATTTGATTTTTTCCACCGTGTTTTCAAAGGGCAAGAGCTTAACAACCATAGCTTTGAATGGGAATCAACTCAGAGGACCTATTCCGGCCAAGATCTTTGGTCAATTGCAGTCAACTAGAGGCTCTTGATTTGGGAAACAACAAGTTACAAGATACATTTGAACCAGTTGGATGGTATGGAAGATCCCAGGAACAAATTACAAATTTGAAATTTCTTGAGGTGTTAGACTTGTTACAAAATCATTTGGTTGGACGCATTCCTACGGGCTAGCGCAGTTAAACACCTTTGGAAATGACTCACATGGGGGAAACCTCAACTTATGTGAATTTTCATTGTCAAGAGAATGCAATGACAACAATAGGTCACATGAACATGAACACCAACAACAACATGTTGAGTTGGAAGATATATTCATGAGTAGATTTACTTGGAGAGTTGTAGTGATTGGGTTTTGTCGTGGAGTGTTATTTGGAATCTTCATCACTCCATGGAACATTTCATGTCTCGGACTGGGAAGCCAAAATGGATGTTTGTGA